ATAGGCTGGGCCCACCCCTGCTGCCTCTCCACTCATCTTCTTCTGTTGCCCTGCACAGGAGAACAGAGCTGGAAAGCAGGTTAGTGGGGTGGGGAGGGAATGGGGATTTTGCAGTATCCTTCCCCTGCCACGCCCAGAAAGCCACACCATGCCCACAAAGCCACACCCACAGAACCGGTAGTAAAAAAAAATTTGAATCCCACCACTGCACAACTGGCTACGAACAATGGGAGCTGCAGTCCAACCCAAATGGTCAGGGCAGGTTACAGGCTAGGTGAGAGGATTTTAGCACTGGTGCACACGGACAAGGTGTTCAAGGCCTTCTCAGAGGTCAGTGAGTTGTGGGGAAGAAGGCAGCCGCTCGGTTTACCTCACATACCCCTGGCGCCTTTTACAGTTGCTACGTGAGAAGCAGAAGTTCTAACCTAAGCAAGAGCCATACTTAGTCTTGAAGATTCCCCTGAGCGAGTGGGTGGGAAGCCTGAGAAGCCGTTGAGGGTGAGGAGAAGCCCGGGATAGAAATCTGAAACAAAGGGGTGTTACAGATGCAACTCTGGGGGGGTATGGGAAGCAAAAGGCCAGGCCAAGATGGAGAACAGCAGCAGCCCTTCCGTTTTGCAATTCAGAACCCGGGAGCAGGCCCAGCTAAAAAAAAACACCACCCCACCCCCAATACAAGGGGCATGTCACTGGGGCGCCCCCTTCTTTGGCGCAGGCTGCGACAGCGGCGCTTTATTTCTTCACTTTAGCGTCGTAGGTGCCGGCGTTCTTGTAGGACGATACATAGCCGCTGTTGTCTACGATGTTCTCCCGCCCGCTCTTTCCTTTGCCCTTCCCGGTCTCATCAAAGCGTTCCTTGTGGGATCCAGTGTACTTGGAGGTATCCGTCAGCCGCTCCACAGCCCCTACACTCTTGGCTTTCTAGGAAACACAAAGACAAGGCAGAGCTCAGGATCCATCATTGACCAACGCCCAACTGCCATCACCAGGGGTGGCATTCACTTACCTTCCCTACTGCTTTGCAAATGTGGTTCACCGACAAATGCGCGCCGACAAAACCGCCGTGACAAAACAGCAAAGTCGAAAGTGCACCCACTAAAGCACATTGACAAATGCGCGCCGACAAAACCGCCGCGACAAAACGGCGAAGTCGAAAGTGCGCTCACTAAAGCACGTTGACAAATGCGCACCGACAAAAGCACATCATCGAAAACAACGCAAAAACAACGGTAACAATGTTAACAACCCTAACCCTAACCCTAACCTAAAAACCCTAATCATGCTTTTGTGGGCGCGGTTTTGTCGGTGCGCTTTAGTGGGCGTGCTTTCGACTTTGCTGTTTTGCCGCGGTGGTTTTGTCGGTGTGCATTTGTCGGGCGCGCATTTGTCGGGTCACGGCAAATGTGAATGTGCGCACTCAGCCTTCCGCGCATGGGCTGTTGGTGAAAAAAGGGCCTAAACGGGATGGCATAGATCTGGGATGGGTGGGCGGGGCCACCAGTGATTTCCGCTACCAGTTCGGGCGAAACGGTCCGAACCGGTAGAATACCACCTCTGGCCATCACCATCATAATGCTTCATAATGCCTTACAGCATTCTCTGGGAAGTTGACCTGGTCAGCCTATTGGCCTCAACCATCCGGGTGCTCAGATGGTTAAACACTGTATTTGCTAAACCAGTGTTTTTCAACCACTGTGCCGCGGCACACTAGTGTGCCATGACATAGTGTAAGGTGTGCNAAAAAAAAAAAGCCAATGGCTTCAATGACAAGAAAAGGAAATTTGCTATGGATTTATTCACTCAGAAATTATTCTCAGTTTATTTGCCCTTCAGTTGTTGCCAGTAATAGATATTCTTCTTTTTTTTTTTTTTTTAATACGGCTTCTATACAATTCCAGGACTTTTTTTTTTGCTCGTTTTGCCTTGCAGAAGGAACATCTAATAATGGGATGCAAAACACATTGAATTCAAAACATCTATTTCATATTTGAAACGATTGTTTTTGCATTTTAAAATAGACTGATTTGACGTTTTGGTCGGACTAAAATAAAGGTTCCCCTCACACATATGTGCTAGTCGTTCCCGACTCTAGGGGGCAGTGCTCATCTCCGTTTCAAAGCCGAAGAGCCAGCACTGTCCGAAGACATCTCTGCGGTCAGTGGCCAGCATGACTAAATGCCGAAGGCATGGAACGCTGTTACCTTCCCACCAAATATGGTCCCTATTTTTCTACTTGCTCTGTACTAAAAAGCAAGTATACTATAATATGTCCCAAAGTGCTTTTTCAAAAGGCAACTGGACTTCGTTTTTTCCTTGAAGATGTTTTGCTTCTCATCCAAGAAGCTTCTTCAGTTTTGACTGACTGGTGGAGGATGGAAGGATTTATAGTCCTAACGATCAGAGGATTGCAAGGAATATAAATCCTTCGATCCTTCACCAGTCAATAAGAACTGAAAAAGCTCCTTGGAGGAGAAGCAAAACATCTTCGAGGAAAAAACAAGAAAGTCCAGTTGAAACACACCTTTGGGACAACCGTTACCTGGAGGACTGTGAATCTCCTTCGACATTAAAACCACAATATGGTTATGTTGAAGGTGTAACTCCAACTCAGGTTCCTTCTGAGGGGGAAGAATTGGTTAAAACTCAGCCATTTTCCACTGGATAAAGAGAGTTGACGATGCCTAGAAGGAAGAACGGAGCAATCTTAATGTAGTAGAATCGTGGCGGATAAAGAGAGTTGAGTTGACAACTCCTAGAACAGTGGTTCTCAACTTGTGGGTCGTGACCCCTTTGGGGGTCGAACGACTCTTTTACGTGGGTCGCCCAAGACCATTAGAAAACATACATTTTCGAAAAAATATGGAAAACATAAAATAATTTTATGGTTGGGGGTCACCACAACATGAGGAACTGTATTAAAGGGTCGCGGCATTAGGAAGCTTGAGGCCCACTGCTCTAGAAGGAAGAACGGAGAAATCTTAGTGTAGTAGAATAGTGGCAAAGCCTCTAAGCGTTTTCCTACAAGCCACATCAGGTGTGTCGGAGTGATGCAAATGATGTCTTTTGCCCCTGTGTGGGCGATGGTGGGTTGCTATGCATGAAATCGTGTCACGTGCACCTGTGGCTGTCCCCTGTGCCCACGTACACAAACCTAAAAGAGGTCGGGAGGAAGAATAAACGTGCTGGGGAAAACAGAGACAGATGTGTGTGAGAAAAATAGCAGCAAGGCCATACATTCAACAGCTGGGAGCCATCCGTGCCACTAGGAATCCCCAGAGGCCTGGAAAAAAGACAGACAGACAGACAGACAGACAGACACACACACACACACACAGAGAGAGAGAGAAAGGCAAGGAATTCCAGGCTGGCAACAAAACAACTGTCCCAACGCAGGGGTGAATTCCGGCTTCTGTTACTGTCGATTTGCTCAAGGGTGCGCTGTGGGTGCGCACGCACTTCGCGTGCATGCGCGTTAGCAAAAAAAGAAAAAAACAAGATGGTGGCGCCTATGGCACTGCCGATAGGACCAGTTTGGGGGCATGTCTGGCCGAGTTACTACCTACTCAGCCGAACCGGTCCGAATTGATAGGGACCCACCTCTGCCCCAACGTTTTTCTACCTTTTCCAGGACACCGAAATAGCTCAAGAGCAAGAGAAGGAGATGCCAGTTAAGTTGTTTTTGGAAGGGGCAGGCAAGACGTGCCAGGCAGGTGTAAGATGACAGCCTCAACCACAGGGTCCCCCAACAGGGACAATCCTGGGAAAGGCCGAGTGTAATGCAATAGCAATAGCAGTTAGACTTATATACCGCTTCATAGGGCTTTCAGCCCTCTCTAAGCGGTTTACAGAGTCAGCATATCGCCCCCAACA